CACACACACACACACACACACACACACACACACACACACACACACACACACACACACACACGAACTCATAGGCGTGCGGAGGAACAGGAGAATGTGGGGAGGTAAACCACGAGCTGTCCAGTGGCCATGGCCGCCCTATCGATTGGCCAGTTGGCGGTTCACGGCGTTTGCATTCAGCGCCAATAATAATAATAATGATAGTAGTAACGTTGTCTTTGGGGATGGGGCGGAAACTGTTAGCCTGGTGTGTGTGTGGGGGGTTGTCGGTCGGCTCTTGAACGTTACGGTACTACCACAGAATGTTTATGAGACAGAGGGCACATTTCGGGCACCGGCTGGGAAATCGCTACCTCAGAATTATAAGGTTCTATCTGCTCTTGAAAGAAGCTGCATGAAGACAAATGTGTGTCATGAATTAACCGTCTGCGTAGACTAAAATAGCCGTACTTCTGCTCAGTACCTAGTTTAGAGAAATTTAACGTCAAAGATTTTGAGTTTCACATCATGTCAAGCTTCTTCGAATGCATTTCTTTGAATATATTGATTATGACTCTGAATAATCGTACGATTTTGATAGAGAAGATAGAACATTTCTTGGTTTCTGACCCCATGGTCTTAGTAGCTCAAAACAGCCAAAATCGTCAGATAGAACTTTGTAATCCTGAGGTAGTGAAATGTTGCTGTATAATTCGGATCGCTGGTTCGTCGAGCAGGAATTCGTTCATAGTATGGGGACCGTTGTAACTTGGTACATGTTGGGTGTGTTATTGTCCGTGGCGAAATGTGTCTCGGCAGTGTGCCGGTCTGCTATAACGTACTTTACTTTGTGGGTGGTTGGCGGGTGCTCTGGTGTGGTTTGCTCCTTCTTTCCTTTCATGTAAAGCGCATAGAGCTTGCTATCGATATGCGCTACACAAATGCTATTTATTGTTATTACTATCAAACATCAATATATCGTCCTGATCTCTCCTCCTCCTTTTTGATGTTTGTTACCCTCTTGTAACACCTCTAATCTTCGGCACTCATATGACTTTATTGTGTTGCAAATGCTGTAAAACTCTTACTAAAACAAAATACTTTACGTTTTCTGCTGCGTATATCATGATGGTGTCTGGGGG